GAGAAAAGGCGAAAACTAATGCGCGCGTGGATGTCATCCATACAATTAAGTCGGTGTGGCCTAATATATATCATTCTAGTCTATCACTCTATTTTTTTATCATTGAGAAAAACCATTTCGTCTGAAACGTCCGATTAAATTGATAAATTACTACGAGTACCTACGATAAGTTATTAATTAACAGACTGACCGACCACTGACTATTGACTGGCCGATGGGTGACTGAAATATTTATGCCATTATAATGTATTTGATACATGCGCACACGTGAATAATAATGTTCCTCATACTTTATTTTGCCGTTGATTACTATATTGTAAGGTCTGTGATTACACAGTAAAATTAACACCGAATTTAACCATGCTGTCGATAATTGTACGATACTAGATTACGTTATGGAGTGTTTTGTCATGATAGGAGTCCAGGCGTACAACGTCACTGTAACATCCATTGTGTGAACGCTACATTAAGTATTTGCTATTAAGTTATGTTGACAGTAACACAAAATCACCGAATTGAATCAGACAACTATTCGGTTTCGATATTGCTTGACACGAGAATCAAGTTCCATAATTGTTGTCAAAAAAAGTTCGAGAATATCAGTAATATAGGATGACCGATTGTTCATACCCTTGCTGACAGTGACTTGGCTATATTTTCCTATATCTCAGCTTCTTGTAAAAGTTTACATTGCTATGGTTATGACATTCATTAAGTTATTCAGAAAGTCAAACTGAATGTAATACCCCGGTATATGCGTAGTTCCCTGCTTCCCTCAATCACACTATCTCTTGTTAATTGTTCACTTTGTTTAACAAACTTGTTCCAAAAACAGACGACTTCCGATGAGATGAGAAATTCATATTCACACCTCATGTTTGCATATGTTATATAATTTTAATGTAGGAATGTGTCTTTGTTAGGCATGAACGAGCATACATTAGGTAAATAAAAATAGTTTTTGCAATAAGCTTTTGCATACCGGTGAAGTGCGCCGTGCACGATAGAAGAGAGAAACTGTACTTCAAACTTATCTGAGATTGAAGTGTCAGACTCTTCATTTTATTCAACTCAGTTGATCTGTTTGCTATTCGATAACAAGAGCAATAGTACCAGGAATACACCGTGACAACAGCTAACAAATACATACATTAATTTTGCATGTTGTACGCTTGACGCTGGAATGTATCAGAGAGCCATTTTCACTGGACGTAAAACACGAGCAATAGCTTTACCTAAAACTAATATCTATCGTATAAATTTGAGTTACACTACGCAAATCACGCAATATATATAGCCATCTATATAGCTATTAGTTTATCCAGTATTCCTGGACGTGTCTGGCGATGAATTCATAGCCTATCACGTGCCTGATTCGACTGAATCGCTAAAGATTACATTACAAAAAATACTCAATGTCGTAATATATAAGCGCAGTGTACCTTCAATAAAAGGCAATGTAACGCAATACTACTCGTATGGAATGTAGTAAAGATATTCGAAATAATGACTGTCGACGTATTAGGTTATTGGTTGAGTAAATCAAACAAGTTGATGGGAAGGCAAGCCACCCAAAAAATTACTATCCTCTATTCCCAAATTTACTCGTGTTAAGGGATTTGAAGATTTCCGTCTCATGGGAGGTAGTGGTCGTTTAGTTAGGTATTGGACTCGCTCGAAAATAAAGAGATTTTCAAGTGAAAGACTCGGAACTAGCACAAAAATAACGTAAATTCGACAATTAGATCCGACTATTCTCAATTACGTTACACTATATATATATATAATACTAATTTTGCTCTTAGACGTGGGAAATAGCATTGTTTTTTGCGATATGATACCTCAAATAACGCATGCGCGAGATATATGGGTCTCATATAAACAAAGATGGAGACTTTGGCTGTTGCGCAGATCAACGAGTACAAACTGAGACGTTACCAAGCTTTAATTAGGTATTTTTAGGTGATTGGAAGGTATCTAAGGAGTCGCCGGCGGTATTCAGTTGAAATTACGCCCAGTTG